TCATTACAGCACGCAGCTAATTGTCCATGTGCACTGGCGCACAAGCCACCATGTTGGTCCCATTCATTGAGACACTCCTGGCGCAACACCTAACAGTTTTGCGTTGCTCCGTAGCAAAAGGCACCCTCTCGTTCACCCACACGGCACAGTACGGCAATGATTACAGATGGATCCAGTTAACACAAAAACTCGAATATTGGTCACATGCGGGTGGACCCCACCAATGGCGCTTGTGGCAATCATTGTGATACCACTGTATGGGGCCGTGATTGTTTCATGACACTCGCGCTGTACAAAACCCAACCCTGCTTACTGCCACCAACGGGGTCCATCGAAAATGCCCAGTAAAAATGTCACTTAACTCGTCTGTACGCATGCAGCAACTCACAACCCCTAGCCAGCCATAAAGAGCCAAAAAAAAATCTTTTAAAGGCAGATTCAATGCCAGTTTTACGCATTCAGATCAATGCTCAGTGAAACATTTTGCAAATCCTTTTATCAGCACATTCCCCGATCCATTACATTTGCCAAATCAAAACACACAGATAAGAAACTCTAAAACAACCACTCGCTGTGACCGTCCTTCGGGTGTATATCTACAATCTCAACGTTTTAATTGACTCGTCCTCACTAAAGAAAGCGTATGTACACGCGGTTGATAAAGAAATCTCCTTGATTCATTACAATCAAAATAGGCAAATAAGTTACGAACGAATGATTACATTCTATAAAAAATCGACAATCTATTATTAGTGTCCGAAAACAAGAAACCAAGATGTATACTCAGTCATCAAAAACGACAGATGAAAACTTTTTTTTCAATAAAATTGCACAAGATTTGTATCACCCTCAATAACATACTACACTTTAACGGGTTAGTTGAAGTTTTAAGCATTAATTAGGGCGAGTCAGCAGTAATAGGTGGTACCAAGTGTCGTCGGTACTGGTTTTTGTGAGCGTAAAGCCTGGTTCCCATATCGACGTAGGAACTGCAAAGAGCAACGCAAACTGTAACGCGAACATAATGGAAACATGCCAAACGGAGGTGTCGCCGGCGATGCAGACAAACGCAAACCAGTCTGCGAAAGATTGGCAAAGCTGAACCAGGTTAAACTTTGCCGACTGTTTGCGTTGAGTATAGCCGTACGTGGTATCCCCGTGCAAACATGCTTGCTGGCATGACCGGCATACAACGATGTCCCTCTCGCTTAGTTCCACAAATTTTGCCCACTTTCTCCCTAATGCTCTATTACATTCTTATGATCAACTAAATAGCTGACCATCAATGAAATGTACGAAACTGGAGTACAAGTGTGCCATTGTGAGGTGGTACTGGCAATCTAAAAGGCTATTTTCCGCAGTTTGCCATTTTGTTCGTATTTTTTGGGTGGACCGGAGCGACGTCATGCACCGTCTGTTCCGTTCGTGTCTGCGTCCTCACGTCTTGTGGACTGTCTGCGTTTACAAACGGCCATATGGAACCAGGCTTAAGAGACACACCCAGTGTAGTCGAGTACTTTTCCCGTACCAACGTCTGTGCTACATAATGAACTGTTTAGGAGGGACCAAAGCTACGAAAATATTGGACATTTGATGGTAAATGCCCAAAGGCAAGATTACAAAGTGAATGACATAAAACACTCCCTGTTTTGTAAAATTAATTTTAAGGAGAAAAGTACTCGAAAAGTTCTCGGCCGAGCACTTTCCTCCCACTTGCTGTAAAACTTAGGTGGTCTCTGAAGTCATCATTTTATTTTGTGATTTTGGCTTTATGCATTTAACATCCAAATTGAATATTCATGTTTTTGTTCCCTCCAGTTCAGTATTGGACATGCAGCTGCAATTATAAATCTCCAAGCAACAGCCGTGCAGTGGCTTTCTCAATCGACACCGACGTGCAATTTCCTTACTTTTTTATTTATGTCAATTTGGTTAAATAGGGTTTTTATGAGTTGTATTTTGCTTTCTTTTGTACAATGGATAAGATTTGCTCCCAAACCTGAATTCCAACGTGGCTTTTTTTTAAATTAAATACAGTTCCCAAAAGCAATTCTAGTTTCTCAAATACCGTACTGACCAATACTGTGATCTTTTTTTTCCGGCACAAAGGTGTTTGCCTTTCCGGTATTCAAGTAGTCTTGTTTGAACATGAAACAACGTTTCTCAGCATTAATTTGAAGCATCCAAGTTATGGTCACGCTTTAGAGACCTGGCGTTGGCCTTGGCGCATCTCGTCAAACATAGTCACGTGAACAGCTGTCATCAAATCACAACTTCGAAAGGGGCCTTCAAAACAACGACAACTTGTTTTGATCGAAATAGAAGAGGTGTTATGTAAATTATGTCTTCTGTATGTAGTTTTCTTGGGCGTCGATCGTTCCTCGACAGTTACCGTCTGCGATGTTAGGCCATTGCCAAACAGTTCAACACTACAAGATTGCCAGAATGACACACGAACAGGACAGAACAGTAAGTATAATTACAATGTACATGCAGCAATAAGGTGTCCGGATAGGTCGACTGGAACCCTTCACAGGGATGGTCTCAATCGCCTTAATTAAACTGTCATAATAATAGCAATCATAAGTCTTGTTTTACTCTAATGATGTTACATACATACAACCCTTATGTCAAAATGATCACAGAATAGCCAGCCAAAATATACAAATCTCAAATGCACGAATATGTACTGAGCCAGGAACAATATATCAACAGGAAAAAACAGACTTTTCAATTCAAATAAGAGAAAAAGCTTGCTACAATGCAAATTCTTACAATATAAAAGTAAAATGGAACTGCACCAATTTAATATGAAATTGGATAAAATAGTGAATATATTTGTTATAAAGTAAATGGAATGAACTGTTTATAGCTAGTCGAATAGCCCCGCTGTGCAGTTATGTTTGGCAGAAAGACAGTTTTCCATTTATCAACATTGTGCCAAAATTCAAGGTAACAAATGTATCATCTCAAAAAATGACGTCAAATTATTTTACTCCATTCACTGCCGTTTAAAACAGTGTTTTAATTTTCATGCAAAATATGTGGAATAGGAGAGGCCTACTTCTACAAAGTTTAATGTCTTAGCCTTGCCCCATTCCATCTTAAATAAGGAGTTTCATTTCGTTCCATTATAACCAGATTCTGCAGATGAACGATTTTGACGGGTTTGCTCGTTTTGTTTAATAAATCAATTCGCACCTCGTTGGGATTCAAAACCATGACCAAACCCCGACTTCACCATGACCCGGAACAGCCTTGGGGTCCAGAAATAATTGACAATAAACTGGTGCCTTGAATAATTGGTTCTAATTTTGAACAGATTTGTTCCAGCAAAACCCGTCCTTCGTTGGCATCATTGCAGGGGATAATTGGGAAAACAAGGAATTCAAGTAGTGCACCCACATGATTTCCACGCACAAAAGAATGTGGCTATTTTCAACTGAGTTTAATTTTGGGCTTAAGTTTAAGTGAAGTTTAAGAAAAGCGACCTGGAAAGAAATGTGAAGGCTTAGAGTTTAGCAGAGAAAAATTGCAATAAATAAGTTGGCAGTGGATCAGTATACTAAATCAGTGCTTTGATAATATTCGTGCTAAGGAGAAAAAAATCCAAATCCGTTTTTTTTTCTTTTTAATTTTCACATTGTGAAGCAATGTTGGAGTACAAAATATTTCAACATGACGCCGGCCGAGTACCAGGTAGGACGCTTTGTGTTTAGGCCGTTACAGGCTTTGTGACGCCACCTCAATCTGGTGCCCAGGCCATAGAGGTGTTTGTGGCAGTAAAATCAGTAATGTCACATAGGGAACTTGACTGAGTGGTTGGAGAAATGGTTGTAAACATTAGAATTAAGTCCCATGGCGTCAGAAGAGGTGCTAGTGTGACCCCCGTGGAGGAACTGTGAGGGCCCATGGAGTGACGTCATGCCGTTACACGCAGAGATGTTCTGTTGGGCGGCGAGGTGCCTGACCGCATGGGCCTGGGCTTGATGGGCGTGGAGGTGCGCCATGCTGGAGGACATGGTGGTGGGGTGATGGTACCCACTCGAATTATACATGTGCGGTTCGCAGCTCTGCATGTACATGTTGGACGTGCTCTGCAGAGGGTGAACACTCTGTCCCATGCACTGATTTTGGTTCGACACGGAGAACATGGAGAGCGACCGGTAGTCCTGGCCGTGCATGCTGTCCTTAGCCAGCTGAGCCACGGCCAGGGCCGTGGCCGGCTGCGCCGAGGTCATGCCTTGGTCGTCGGTCATGACGCCGTGGTCCTGCGAGTAGCACGGCGACAGCTGATCAACCACGCCGCTGGAAGTCGTGCCCGTGTAATCCGACAAGCGCGCCTCGTTGCAGCCGGCGTCGGCGTCGACGCCGAGGGCGCCCGTCCCGCCGCCCATGCCCGTCCTGGACGTCTTGGTGTGCAAGGTATGGCCCATGGGGGCGCTGGATTTGGCCAGCCCTCCCTTGTGGCAGTGCGAGGTGCCCGGCTCATCCACCCGTGCCAAATCGCCCTCACCAGCTCCTAGGGGGTCGCAGCCGAACAGCCCGTCGTCCATGCCGCGACCGGCCGTGTCTCGGGGCTGGTGATTGGACGAGGGGCCCCCAGTGTCCAGGTCGCAGCCAATGGGGGAGGAGTTGCTTTCGTGCTTTTCCTTCTTCGGGACAGCGTGGTCAGATGTCTTCGAGTTGTCAGAGTCTGCTCAAAATACAAAATAAAGGAAAACGGAAATTGTTAAAAAAAAAATTGTCTCATCATCGGAAAGGGCAGGCAGCATCTTGGATATCATTCATGCCCATAGGACAAAGCACTCATCGTCTCCGAGCTGATGAACTATGAACAGTGGGAGTGGGCCAATTGTAGGCTTCTTTTGCCAAGCAGTTTGTGAATTTTCATCCACCTGCAATCTCTTTTTCTTTGCTTTTGCGCTTTTCCTTTTTGTCTTCTAACTTTGTACATTTGTGTTAGATATAGTTTTATCAGGAGAGCTTGTGCTATTCTGTTTCTTGGTTTGAAGGAGCAAGCGCAAAGGATGTGACTTCAGTTGTCTGTGCTGACTGTTGAGACTTTTGCAATGTACCAAAACGGGTGCAGGACTGTAACGAAAACAAGTTTGGAATACTGCGTCGACGTTCATTCATGTTTCGTTCCCCTCGCTCTGAGTGGCCTCGTGGAAAATCCTAATAGAGTGACGTAGCTCGGATGAAATAAACGTAATTAGGAAAGAAGCTGTTTTCAGTCAAAATGAGCTTCTTCTTGCATGAAGACTATAGCTGCAAAGCTTAATCAACGATATATATGGGCCTATCTCGCCTTGTTATGGCGAATCGGGAAGGGAAGACCTTAAGCCAAATGCGGACTGAAGATGAGCTCAGTTCAATCGTTTCCTCGTAAGCAATTATCGTGGCTGATGAGCAAAGACAGGAAACTGTGAAAATGACTCTACGAGACCAGGGCCAGGGTGTCAGATCTGCCACCTGCCGGTGCTCGGAGCTTTCGTTGCGTAACCCCCCGTAGCCTCCCCCGGCCCGCACCCGCTCGCTTCACCGGTGATTGGTCCCTGGCTCCGCCACACCGTTGCCTGCCCGCACCGTACACTAGTGCAGCACAACATGCGAAATGGCAACTCGGGGCGCGTCAGAATTGGAGCCTGCCGTTTGGCGAAACATGTTTTTCTTCGCCCGCCAGTTAATAGAGGGGCTTCGCTTGTTCTTTGCACCCCAGCGCTCGGTGTTTGTCGCCCAAGCGTCCCCACAAGAAAAAAAAAAGGAGTAGGAGTAGAAGAAAAGAAAGAAGAGGCTAACTGATGAAATTACGACGGCGACGAATGGGAACACCTGACGCTGATAAAATTTTGATATCTCATTTAATATTCTATGAAATTTAGATGCGGGGGAGCATGGAGCGAGGCGACTCGGCCAAGTCTGAAGAGGGAGATATGATAGAGAGGAACTCCGTTCTGAGGCACAAACACGTGAAATATCGCTCAGCCTGCAAACTCTCAACATGCTCGTAGATTATATTTTTGCCGCATGAGTTGCTTCTCCTGCGCGGCATCGGCTGCGCCCTGGCCCCTCTAACCCATCTTTTAAGGGCGACAGCGGATTCCTATAAGGCCTTGCACGGCCATTAATGCAGGTCTATCAGCGTCGGAGGAGCTGCTGAATTTCTGATGCCGTAATTAAGACGGGAACTGTTCGGGCGACGGCGGTCTTCCTCTCGCCGTTAGCTCCTCATCAGCAGAACATTTGTGATCCATTACACCTCAAATTACACCCCCTGCTTTATCTCAACACAATGATTTATGTGCAAGTTATGAATTCTCAATTTCATTGGATGATACTGTAACCGTCGGGTTCCACCAGGTTTCCCTCGAATTGTTGGCATGAGTTAAATGAAAACACTTGAGGGAGATCTCGGTTATTGTGTTGCAAAGACGAACTGAATGAATTTGGCTCCTCGTCAGTATTTATTTCAAATAAAATGTAAACCGTTTCTAGGTAATCACAACAAAAAACTTAATTGCTTTTGAAGCTGATCCCAAATAGCCGTAATGTAATTTTAATTATGTTCAGAAATGAAACTCATGAGCTGAAGACATGTTCCTTGGTCTACAAAGTTATACTACATGATTTTTCACAAAAACCCTCATATTTAGTTATTTCCCAACAGAAGGTGTTTTTCCTTACCTCTTTTATCGTCCAGGTCTTCTATTTTGGTGGCTGTAGTTCGCTTTAGTGCTAACCTGGAACCCCTGTGAAACAGAACGATAAAAGCAAACGTGAAAAACGGCCGGATGCTATGCACCGGCCAAGTCCAGCACAGGTTGCAACAACATTTACAATATAACCTTGGCAGCCATTTCAAGCGTTTTGAGGGGCAGAAGGACTGGATGTGGACAGATGTGAATATCGAACTACATGTATCAAGTTTGATTTGAATGTGCCCATGTAGGTTGCTCACCGTGTGGAGAATAGGATTAGTAGCCAGTGGCACACCGGGGAGGGGCCCTGGGTGCTTGCCCTCCAAAAACCTGAAGCCTCAATGTACATGTCCATCTACAGCTTAAACTACTCGCCCCAACGCAGCCCTAAATCCCATTATCTATGGCCGCAACCGGTGCAGGGGCTTGAGCATCATGAGCTATTTGGGAGGGGGGTAAATGCCGGTCCACCCCCCCCGAAAAAATCCTAGGTGTGCAACTGATAAGGAGCATATTGGAAGACAAGTAAGACGGAAGACAGTAAAGTTCCCACACCACTCGATATGTATATCTAAATCTAGTCTGTACCTCCATGATCTATTTTATTAATCTAGTCAGCTATGAGAGAAATGATACTTGGCTATGAACTAACCGTTGATTGGATATGTTCATACAGTGTGACCATATCCCACGTGTAGTGTGAAAATCGGACCCTGTGAAAAACGGACTCACTGACCGTAATGCGCATGACTAAATGCACAGAACAATCGCAACTCGCGAACGTAAGGTCAGTGAGAGATCATAATTGTCACGGGGGGGGGTCCTATTTTGGTGAAACATCGAGTCGCTGAAAGTGCAGAGAGAGGGATAGAGAGAGCGCGCCTCTATGGTTTCACGGCGCTGTGGCCATCATACTGTCTCATTAACAATCAGTCAGGCATAAAATGATGAGTATATAAGTATACACAAACACAGATACCTACTTGCGTGCCATGCCGTTGTCCCGAAAACCCTTGGCGAATGGGTTGTGATCAATCTTGAGCTGAGTGATCTGTAAATTAACAGAACCAATAGAGGGAGAAGAAAAGGGAAGAGTCCATTACGGTGTGCAGCGAAGCAGAAATAAGAGGAGACGAGGAAACATTTGGCCCTCCCTCCTGACATTCTGGACAAAGATAATAGCTGTCCCAATATTATAGGGCAAGTTCGATCAGCAGCAAGTGTTAACCACTGGTCGGTTTTCCCTGATGCCCAATATCTATTTAATGCATAGGTTACCAGTCAAAATCGACCATTGGTTGACTATTTGTTGCTGATAGAACTTGCCCATACTTGACTCTGGCTTCACATAATTTTTCCATAGCGCACAAGTTTCCCCATGGGGCTATTTGCATGATGTAGGCACGTATGACAGTACAACATGGATAATATAACTCTGTATTATCGATGGAGGGACTGTTGTCAGCTACGCTCAGAAAGCCGTCAAAGGCCGGTTTCCTTCCAGCAGTACACGGCCATGTGGCCAAATATAACGTATTGCGACATGAGTGTCCCAAATTTTGGAACCAAAATGGTGGATTATGCGTCACTGCACATGGACAATTAGCACACAATAGCTGCATGCCGTACTGCACACAATAGTAACAGCAATTGTGATTCCAAAGTCTGATGTTGGCACTTCTCTGGACTAGTCCTATAGGGACTGGAAGCTAGCTACTGTTTAACGTGAGCGATTGGTCCTGTCAATTTGGATCCGTGAATATTTTGTCAGGCCAATAACAATGCTTAACAAGAAACACGTTTCAGCGTGGAGGCGAATGAAATACAAGTTCCTCTCCTTACCAAGCCTCTGTTGATCACAGCGTGGTAATTTATTTTTCAATGGTTATCATTGATAAATCATTTTTGCAATTTCTTTCAAATCAGTGATTACTGTGTTAAATTTCAGATAAATGTACCATATAGTGAAGTTGTCTTCGGTAATGAAGAAGAAAAAGCGAAATATGCTATCAGCTCCTGCTCGATGCGTGCATTGAGCGGGGACCGTTTCCTCATTTACATACACCCGGCAGGATTCTGCCAGATTCATTACCCACTACTGGTCACTACATACGGAGGACTTCTGTAAGACGTCTGGAGACTACGTACGGGACGGTAACTAGTCTGTCGCTACTCTCTCAATGTACAGTTCTGATCTGCGACCATGGAGGCCGCCACCCAGTGGCACCATGATGCATTTTTCAATAGATAGTTGTGCTATCATCCAGCTGAAGCCAAGTTATAATTAGACACGGCCTAGCTTGTACAATGCTCTCGCCGTTACTATAAGGGGTCTACCTAATGGCAGTGATCACGTGACAGGTTTTACCCCGGACACTCGCCGCTCAACGATTGCTTTCAGTGGCACGGCAATCGCAAGTCCGGCCAGTGTCGTTGTTTTCCTGTGATGGAGATGAGTCTATCGCTAGCCTTTTTCACAAGTCCTTTTTATGAGGCAAGTCATAAGTAACTGGGTATTGTCGCTGTTCATTGTTTTGAATAGTTTGTAACTTGGCTTGCAACTGGATAGCTTTAGATAGATCTGTGATAGACTTCCATGGACTTGTAATAGACTCGACTACAAAAATGCTGTTTTCCATTCCAGATCTTTACATTGCTTCATTAATTAATGGGAGACTTTGAGACGCTTGGTGGCGGCAAACATATCGGTCCGTTTTAACAAGTCTGAGCATGCGCGCGTTGTTTTGAGCGTGCTCGCATATTGTTCTGAGCAAGCGCAGTACTTTCCCTTTTCATATATGAAAAGGGACCGGTATGTCTGCTGCCACCAACGTCTGAATGTCTCTCACTGGAACGAGCAGCGAAATACAAACACTTAAATTATTACAGCAAGATTCGCGCTATGTGGATTTTGCACGTAAAACAATGGATTTGTGCCCAACAGTGTATCTTCGTCAAAGTCCAGAGGGCGCTTCAAAAGTGACAAAGCTCACGCATGTGACGCAATTTGCAAAAATGATGCGCGCTATATTATAACGACGCTTTTCTCATCGATATTCTAGGCGGTATTAATATTAAACGAAGGTTATTCAATTCATTTAAATTTACAGACCGTACACCCACTCCGGTCGCCAGAAGGTGGGAAACTGTTTCATGGCAGTGGATTTAAAACGCTTGTCTCCTTCTTTTTGGTTCGTCTTCAAAATATAGTTGCACTGCGACTACGTACGTATCTCTATTGGGTAAAGGTGAGGGATAATCCTCATTATGATATATCCTTTTCTCTGTATACAGCACATTCGTAGTTTTTGCCAACCAGCAGGTGGCTAACTACGGTTGACCGTCAGTGCGAAAGCAATTCGCAAAAACATCTGACGCAGATATGGAAACACTAAAATTAATGATAAATACTACTACTAAATACTAAATGAAAATGCCTCCATTCTTCACACTAATAGCGCACTTTGCATTTTAAGGCAACAAACATCACAAACCACGGGTGAAATTTTCCGTCAACTCAAGTCGCTCAGGCCAGGCAATCACAGAAATTTGCAATCGTGCGCTGTGTCAGATTTTATAGGTTACAGACCACATGCTTATTCAGAATTTGTCAAAAAAGACTCAAGATAATCGAATTGAAAAATACGTCGGGTTTTCGGTCTGGCGTATCCTTCCGCTCAATTAAAATATCAAGAGTGTGTTAATATTTAATCACTTGACTATTTAGCTATGGGGGTACCGGTATTTTAGGCCGAGCGGATTCTTCACTGCAACTGTGCCATAGTTCCTTCCCGAGGATTTACGCAAGCGGAACGCATGGAAACTAACTCCGCGCATGGCCTAAACTGATCGTACCCCCCAAAAAAGTATATCATACAAGAACTTAATTGTTTGAACAAACTCAGGGTTATACAAAAAAATCCACAGGAGCTTCAGCAAATATTATTCCCCGCTAGTGATAGTCGCAGAGCAGCACGAAGAATTATTCCGAGCGGGCCGAGTGGGACCGCTGGCGGACGGGCCAGCCGAGTCGAGACTCTCTGCCGGGATTATCAGATCTCAATTAACGTTTATCAATATTCATAACTTGGCCAAGACGCGGCCGATCGGGCGTGACGAGCTAAGGAAGGAGATACGGGTTGTATGGGGGGATGGGGGGAAATGGATGACGGGAGGTTGTGGTGAAAGGAGAGGACGGAATAATGCAAGAGGAATGGAGACGGATGGAGGTCGCGGCAAGTTTAGACAGGAGGTGAGAGGCAAAAGGATACCTGGGTCAAGGGCTTGATACTAGCAAGAGATAACGAAGAAGTTCCGAAGGGGATGGATGATGTGGTAGAAATGGCTGGCTCTAATGCCAGGGTGCCAAGAGATACGGGATGCTCAAAGAATAACAAACGTACGCCTTAAGTCAAAATACAGAAGAATAAAAGAGAGTAGGTGTGTTGGGGAAAAAAAAAGAAACGCAGAGGTGAAGAAATTGCTGAGAATAATTTTTACCCGAAGACTAACAGGCCAAACAGATATCTTTAACAAATTATGCTTCGTGGCTAAACAAAGTGATACCTTGCACATACAGCCGAACTCGCACTTTTTTCGGCTATTCAGTGTGTGTGTTTTTTCTTCAAAAGGGAACAGTGTGGCCGAGATCGGACATTTTTGCACAAGCAAAGACTTTAAAGCAATGGCAGTCAGTTGAAAAAATGGTTATAAATAGAAAGGCATACGATAGTGAGATGAAAGCGCAGACGTATGAACGCATGGACCGCCATGCCAATCTTGCGTGTAAAACAGTGATTTCTGAAAGGTTCGGGTTAAAACCGTGGACGGCAGCGTGTGTTGGACACCACGCAGATCTCGAAATTTGCAAGAAGTCTGGAATTCGAACTGGAAGTCTAAGTGTCTATCAATATCGTGTGTCTGTGGATGAAAGGGTCCATTCACCAGGAGTTAAAGTGCACCCTGACTGACAAAAGATAGACAGACTCAGCCTGGTGGGAAGATTTTCAACCGGGCTTGTGCACGCGCCCGGCGAACACGCGATGGCAATGCGCCTTAGGTAGAAGCACTTCTTCATCGGTTGAAAAGAGCCCTGTTGGTGGGAGTGCTCATTTTGTTGGTAGCGACGCGACCGTATAAAGCGTGCATTTCATAGTCTTCCGTGAACCAGCGAAGTTCAGTTCCCGCCAAAGGAGCATCCGTTTCTAGAAAACTGCTGCCATCTCTTGGTGAAGTCGCGGATCATACTTTCAAACAGAAATTGGTGGCGCGAGCATGCTCAGCGTGTCTTCGCTCGTACCCCAGCGCCCGAATAGGGCGTTGAAGGGTTGATGGCCTTGCATAGAATTTAGTGAAGGAAATACGTCACACGGGGTCACAGCTGACGGCGCGCAGAGCATTGTTGGTAAATTTCAGCCAGGCGTGCGAGCTCACTCGATGTGGCGGTTATCAATTCGATATTTTGTCTTAATCTTCTTCATTGCTGAAAATGTTCTCGCAACACTTTATTATTTCATCCAAAATTGATCAAAGAACCAGTGTTCGGGCTCTGCGCGACGAGCGAACAGCGCGTCCTATACCAACCGCCAAACGTGCACCGTCTTCTTGTGACCAACATGGCGTGCTGTTTCCCTTCAGCATTAATTTTGCCATTGCACAAAGGGTGAAATTATACTAAATTCCAAAAATCTTAATGACCATTTTTAAAGATAAAATTTGATTTGAAACACTTTCTCGAGTTTATCTGAAAGAGCGCTCAGCCCCGTTTCCAAAACCTTTTAAAAATACGCAAGGTAGTATTTTAACAAACGTGAATTAGAGGCCATGAATAAAGAACAGTAGCGAATGATCTTATAACTTCAGAACGAAAATCGCACATTATCCTGAGTATTTTTCTGAATGTTTTCTTGAAGGTGTGCGATACATACGGAAGACAGTGGAAGTGTTCAAATCTTCAATTTATGGAAAGAACAACTTTACTTTTGAAAGATATCGAAACAAAACCACAATTGTGCAGCAAGTTGTCAACGCTTCACATTATTTTCAAACCACAGTCCCTGCGTTATCACCCGAAATTTCAACTCGGTATCACTCGCTGTTCCCTAGACTTCTGCACACGGTTGAACTACTTTCACCCATAGACATGTTTAGTCGGGCTCTGTCAAAATTACAGTATCCAGGCATTGATTTCTGTAGGCATGCTGCTAGTCTGTAGGTATTTTAGGTCGATGGTCTGTGCTATGTAAAAACGCACTCTCTTGTTCCCACTCGCAGCGGATGGAGGAGAAACTTGGAAGTGAAAATCACGATGGGACTTAATGTAGGTTACGGCACGCTGGTCTCACTCGAATAAAACGAAGTTGAGGCTTCATTAAACAATAATTGGGAAATGGATCCACGCTTTCCGTGACTCGCTTCTCTTCTATATCAATTTGGAAGATTTACGGGAAAGTTAGCATCAGATTTCGCTAACGTAGCTTGTCCGCGAGGTATAACGTGACCACCCTTGGGAGCCCCCGATCGACTATGGAGAGTTTCCGTCCGGGAGTCTCAGTGCACGCCCGCCGGAGTTTGCTCATTTGCACGAGCGCTGACCGCGAACCAAAGAGCCAGCGTGCCGTGAACTTGGGACATGTCGCGACCACCGTGTGCCGGCCCGGCCCTCCTCCAGGCAAGTAACCGATGCGATGTCCCCTGACGCGGCGGGCCCGGTCAGGAAAGTAGCCAGCCAGCCCACGGGAATTACCAGAGGAAAGAGAGGGAGAGAGGGGGGGTTTACCAAACAAAGATCGGCGGACGAAAGGGCGAAACCGCCATGCCAGCAACAACTTCAGGGAAATCCAATTTAGCTGGGAATAATCTGGACATCATGAAGGATAGAGTTAGTCGGGGGAGTGGGCGGTGGTAATTCCCCTGGCTGTTTAAACGGCGATCGTCACGGGTGTAACCCCGCGTGTCTATATGTAATGTATGAGGTAATGGGATGTTGCTTGCGGGTACAAACACGATGAACTGTACCGTAGTCGAGATCCATTCGACTTGCGTTTCGCTTCAGTTACCGTCACTCTGTATTTACTCGATGCAAAGATGGCATTTTGAGCATGCATTTACATGTTAATTACTCAGTTCAGGATGAATTGATTCCCATCAGTTTTGGCTTATGACCCTAAATAAATAACATGAACATTAAGCAATCATTGAAAAGATAAACCAAAAGGAGAATGAAATGCACATTTTGAGCATACGGCCTACGTGACAGCCGAAAAATTAAAACATTGCGTGAAATATAGACGAAATTTAAGATCAAAATATAAATGCTGTAAGAAAAATTTCATGTGCATGTATCTCTTTCAGTTATTTACAATGAAACCACATGGAGTTTCGGGATTCGTGATTTCCATTAGTTTTCTTTCTTTGAATTGGCTTTCCCCATCAGTCTAATGGCAAATATTTTGCGGTCTTAGTTCAGAAACACGCTGCATTTGCGAGGTTGTAGAGTTACGACAACGATCGCGTTTGCCAACGTTGACCGTACCACTGACGCTGCCCGAGCCGGGTCGGAAACAGAAAACGTTCGGCCTCTCCGTCCACGGCGGGCCCCCGCCCGATGACAGCTTGTGAACGCGGTCTACTCGGGGACCGCCGAAGTCGCCAGGGGGAGGGGCCCACATGATCGGAAAACGCAACAGAAGCATTTGCCTCGCATGGCTGCACTGCCGTGACTCCTGGACCGAGAAAAGCAATCACGAGCCCGTGATAGCTATCGAATGGAGCTCGAATTCGATGGCTCGGGGATAGAAAAAACTATCAGACGAGAGTAAACCAGAGAGACGGGGGGAAAAAGCTGGAAAGCTGCAAAAATAAGGTCTTCCCCTCCCCTCGATTGTCGTGATCAGTTGTTACAACATCGGGTGTAGAGTCTGACTGAGAGACTGGATAGAGAGATGGGGAAACTGCGGAGCAGAACAAAGCCCAGGGTAGTGAGAACTCAAGGACTACCCGGCGTATGCACGCATACCGAAAAAAAAAGACCCACCACGGGCATACGGGGTGCAAATATCTCTACAAGACAAAATCGCTGCGGCAGGTCGGGACGGACGAGATTTCCCGCGTCAAAAAAAGTCGCTGCTTTAATTGAGTGCCTGCTCGGCACCATCTACAGCTGGACTGCGAACACAATGGCGTCCCATGTAGAAGCGCGGACTGACACGGATTTCAGGAAAAGATTGGCAAAATGAAATTACTCCCGTGGTGGAAAACTAACATTCTTTGTCCTTGGAGGAGAACTAACAGGGTGTGAAAGTTTTTCTTGGCTGAACCAATAAAAATGTCGCTACGAACTAGTTCAGGTGGAATCGTGCGGGTTTTTTTTCCTCAAGTGTATTCATGCCTCTCTTTGGGACAGTCTGTGTTGTACTAACCGAATGATACTGCGTTATGAGAACGTCATCAGCCAAGCAGAAAGCGCTATGAGAAACCGACCCACAACCAGAGAGTGAACACAAGACACAAACGGAGCATGGCAAATGTAGAATGAGGAGAAATACAGCGAGTGTCCTAGACTCAGACTCACAGACGGAGAAATGGAACAATAGAGGATATATTTTGGTATTCGTTCAGGAAAGCAAGCAGATAGAACAAAATGGACAGAATGTAACATGAAAGAGGTCCATAGAGACAGTGGCATCACATCATACACCACTCTCTTTTTGCCTAAAACTTGTATGGACAGCCAAAGTGTGCAGAGATATGACCTTTTGATTGGTTTTTGATTTCACCACAAATTTGTTCAAAATGGACATTTGTCCAATTAGTTTTTAAATAGGCTTGTGTTTTCATTTAGTATTTAGTAGATCTTGTATTATTATGTGGTGTGCTGATACCTGCGTGGGACCTTCGTGAATTGTTCTTTTACTTGGCTTGTTCTGTACTGACAGCTGGCCATATTTATTTTTAGCAGTTACTTGTTTAAAAAAAAACTGTGACGGCAAAAGAGCACAAGGTAGAAACATTTGCTTAAAATTTTGATAGTGCTGCAGGTCATTTTTGAAAACAGAAGTTCCAAGTACATAATATTGTAGCAAAACAGCTAAATTGCAGACTATTTGTCCTTAACATGGGACCGATGAATTCCTGTCCATATAGTTTAAAGGAGAACCGTATACCTTTTCATTCTGGTAAGCAGTGACGGCGATGAACGTTGTTTCCGGGAAAGCGAAGGTGACGAAGGAGTTCCAGCGAAGACTGAACACGTCGTTGGCCTGCACGATGTGAAAGCGCGGTTGGTACTTATGCATCGAGTTCAAGATAATCTGCTGGTGAAAACACAGTAAACAAAGGGGGAAGGCCGTCAGACGTGTTAGCAATGCTGTGCGATGATGTGTATATCTTCCGTTTCGTGATGATTGGAGCTGATTCTGGAGAACACCGACCTTTCCACATGTCTTTTCTAGCATTTTACAAAATGATTGTGTGTGGACATTTTTTGGTCATTCGATATGTCAACCACAGGGGTAACTAATAATTAAATGTTCATGGGACTGTGTGACATTTTCATTGAATAATGTCGATTCAGAAATCAGGTCAATATCTTGTCAAAGCATTACTTCAAGTATAGCTGCCAAAAATAATCCGGAAATGTGGTAAAAATCCCCTTTCCAAGTTAGCTGCAAAACTAGGTATAATCTCTTAATCTGTAATGAAATAAATAAGTATATTGTCCGTTGAAACGATCAAATGTAATCATGCATGAAGTATCAACTGAAAAATACAATGAGAAATTACGTTCAACGGTTTTAATATCAAAGCGACATAAATGCACAGTGCAAAGACTCATGATTCCTCAATAAGGTGAAAACGTCGATTTTTCATGAGACGATTCCCATTTCAAACAAAGACATTTGCCACAGGTCGATGAAAGATAGTTAACAGATGTCCAAAAACAATAAAACAAAAACCCAAATCCATATGGATTAGGAATCCAAGCCCGGCTGTTACACTGTCAGACACGCAACTAGACAGAGTGCGAGCAAGCCGTCTTTATCGTGCCAGCTCGGCGGTGCAGTTGGCGCGCTCGTCCATTTTGCTGTTACATCTGATCCGGCGTTGATGAACGACGTGGCGGTTTTGGCGGGGTCGGAGGGCCTTTTCTCGCCATCCGTGATGCCATAGCGTTTGGCTAGCGACCAGTAGCTGGCGAATTTCTCTCGCTGCCAGTGAAGCGGGCCCTGACATAGTACTTTTAGAAGCCAGGTCGACAGTGTTAGCCGACTTTTCGTTTTGATTTGTAACTCTTAATTTGGAATAGAATTTCGTGCCATATGATATGTCAAAGAATTTTGAATTTTTACTTTGAAATTTCAAATAAAGTGTTTATTTACACTCCCCAAACCATGGATAACGATTAGCGTTTGTAATACCTAAAAGTCATTTGTAACATATGAATTTCCATTTCAAGTGACAAGAATAAGCAGAAACAACCCAGCGAAGTAACTGAATTATTCACTTAAATCCAAGTTTCCTTCTCATGTTCAATCACAGAAAAATGTTTACTGATTTTTGGTTTTTTTCGCATGGTCATTTACATTCAATAATTGATGGATCTTATCGAATATTCACTGAGGTCGAGAAAAATATCGCACGTCCACTGATAGGTACACCAAAGTATTGCAAATGCGAAGAAATAAGTTTTCGTTGAATCCATCTTTAATATTCACTCCCATGTTGGGTCTGTCATTAGGGAAGTAGGCATGGTACAAAGTCGTTCCTGCCCAACTATGGTTTCGTTTCCCATGCCATTTTCGCGCACACAGTTTACCCATGTCCCCAATTTACCCTCTAATGTAATTATCACGCCGGTTTCTCACAAGTCATATTTCGTGACGAATCTGGAGTTGGGGCTGCGCCGATCCCACGAGTTGTTGGTTTCGCAGCATGTGTGCCGGCGCGTGCGCCTATTGTTGGCCAAGAGATAGCCCCGGCTCTTCTGCTTAATGTTCGCTCCGTCCGATGGATTCTCGTTTGTTTCGAACCTTCCCCACCCGTGCTCCGATGCTATTGTCTTTGGTCCATCATGAACTTCAGTCTGCTCTCTCGCCTTTGATTTTTTTCCCGTCAGGAGCAGTTGGAAGTTGGCTGTCTAGACGTGTACTAAGGCTGACGTTGTGATTTGGAACCATTTTCAGCACTCGCGCGGAGTGAGGGTCCTTGAAGGGAACCCGAAAAACGGATACCAGAGAGGATCTTAGGTTTGCCATCTTATACATTTTTTAAAGCGAATTCGTGTTGTAGAGCACATCGGACTGGGAATACGGGCTCTGCTAGGAGGGACAGTGACTGAAACATCATTGTTGAGGAAGAAACTGTCATGGCTGTGTCAAAGAAACAATGACAGTGTCATTTTGTTTCCACCCCCACCCTCACTGGTCATCCTACAAACCCAACCCCACCCCCACTCGCCAGTACAGATTTACAAAGATTTCTGCAAAGAAAAACATTGAGACGGGCGGGCTTTGAGTCCCACCTGCAGTGAAAATTGGAAGATTTTATTCACAGGTTCACTGAGAATTTCCTCGTGTGTGACGTTTTTTTGTTGGCTGCTTATGAATAAGGCAATCGTTTGTTTTGGGGTTGCTACGCATATCTTTACTCTATACTTACGGAGTTTAAAGCCAAGTGTGTATAAATAACGAGGGATGATCAGTTTGTGGACATTGTCCGTGATCTTTCTCCCTGAAACAGAAGGGTATAACTTCAGAATTACACATAATTGTACACGTGATGGTCCTACTGAATTGCTTCGTGATAATCGAAATTTCTAATTGTGCCTGACTGATGCAACAATCACTACAGACCCTGTGCAGCATCATGCATGGCGAAGAAAAAAATATCGCTGGGGAAAAACCTTCTGCCGGTGGAAGTCGAACTAGCCGGAAATGACCGCCCTTCTATATCGAATGGTTTACAACGACACGGGTATCTCCCCTTTTTTTCTTCTTGTTCGTCCAGGAACATGCAGGACTTTACCATTGTTAGCAAGGCCTCCTTTTTTTTTACATAAATAAAGACAGATGCGGCTCAAGGATATGAAAAATTGATGTCAGTCAAAAGAAAGAATGGAGGAAATTCGAACGCAACGGGTACGGGAAACATCGCACAATGGAAAACAAAACATGATCGCATCTGCCTCTTGTTATTGCGCTGAAATTACAACGATATGATAACCATGGAGATCATTATCGGACGGGTAAACACAATTAATGTTTGCTGTGATTGGAAGGGCTGGGCTGGGCTGGGCGGGATAATGACGAGAGGCGACCGAGGGACTGGGGCCGTAGGCACGGTCAATGACGGGCGCTATTGTTCTTGGCGGAATCGAGAGGCGATTCCAAGGAGAATATTCTTTCATGTACAGTATATTCAAAAGGGACTGGGAGGGGTTAGTGGTGGTTGCTGGCGCCATCAGAAGAGGTTTCGTCGTCGGTCCAAGTCTCTGCTTGAAGAAGTCAGAATGTTAAAGTTTATTACGTGTATTGACACGGTGCCAAATGGGGAAATTCCCGAACGGGCACTTCAATAGACCTTATTCACGGGGCAGCCATTTTATCTCGTTCCCTGAATCTGTGAGCGTTTTCGAAACGAGTAGATTCGACTTAGACTATGGTTTCGCTGGTTCTAGCCATTTTGCAGTAGCGTTTGAAATCACACAAGCTCAGACTGGAACCAGCGAAACTTATGCCTAAGCCGAATCCAACTCGTTTCAAAAAACGCTCTATCACATTCAATGAAATCTGTTAAATAGGGTGGTGCAAGACTTTTGGGGATTCCACGCCTCACTTTCATTTTTCAAAGGTGGCTTAGAATATTCAGACAAAATGTATCACAACCTTTAAATTATCCTCCACAAAAACTGGCGCGAACTTGCATTGAACTTTTATTTTGTCGCTGTTGTTTGTACTCTTACGTTCCCCAAATGAAAACCTTAACCTCAATTTCAGTTCAAAATGGCCCTCACATGAAGACAGTCTATTATTACCATAACAGAAATTGCATCTGCTGTCAGTGTATAAGTATCCAATCCTATCATTTCCTTCGTGTCGTTCACACAGCATGGCAATTCTACATAAGGTTGTACCTTCCAATGACGAATCTTTGAAAATCCTTAACCTAAGCCTGAATCACAAAGTCGAGTCCTGGAATTATTGTTCTCGTTTATTACGCGTGTATTTGGGCCACATAACGAGCAATACGTACATGTGCAGTATTCGTTAGGGGTCATTTCAACATAAAAGAACTGAGGGCGCTCTGCTGGAAGAGTCCGTGCCGTTGTTGCCAACCAACAGGAGGTCAACCAGGCTGCAAGGAGTACACTTGCTCACATTGATTTTGCCAGGAACTACCCACAATCCTTTGCGCTCCTGCGCATTTACAGCGGAGTAAAGCCGCGTCCACCTCTCGTGTCTAGAGTGCGTCCAGGTCTTCGCTGGTTGCAAATACGTCACAGGTACGTGCTAGACAACAGACGTAGCCTTAGGTTCGTGTTAGACAACAGACGTAGCCGTAGCTCTGCAAACCCTTTTGGGTGCATCCTGCACAAGCCTGTTTGAATTCATCGTGAAATGGGATACGCTAGATCAACTATGAAAAATGTTTGCTAAATTTTGTGACGGTGGAGAAACATCAAAGTAAGATTCTTTTCTTTTGTCAAATGTTATTTTAAGTATCAAAAAGGCAACAGATCGGCATGTGTGAATCCATGAAATCAAAGGGAAAAACACATGTCCTGTTAGAATCATGTGAAGCAAGCGTCGATATTCGAGGTTCACATGGGAAGCAGAATGAATTAAAGTGAGTATTAAGGATGATGAATTTGGTGGGGCAAAAAAACGACCAACCAACAGCAAAAAAGTATTAATTCTTGACTTTCTCCGAGAAGAGTGATCTCGGAGGAATATGCAGCGAGTCGGCAATCCATCACTGCCGTTGTCGCGCCGGGGGTAGAGAGTTATAGCACGGGGGAACGGCGTCCGTGTGCACGCTAAAATAGAACCATGTCAAAATAGCCCCGGGTATTATGGCGAAAAACATTCCCCCCAAATATCGAGGAACAAGAAATGGAAATGTAAATGGATGACGGTTGCCATCCCGCACGGAAGTGGCAAGGGCACGGTAATTCTTAAAGTCAGGGGAACAGGATTTCGAGAAAGGTGTATAAGTGGACGGGAAGGGTTTTGTAGCCAAAAAGCAGAGACCAGTGCACGTTTATGGGATTAGGGATGATATTAACTGCGAGGTGGCGAGTGGGTGCGGCGATGTT